CCTCTTCCGTGATAGCTTGAAGGCGGCGGTGTGGGTTGGGCCCTGTGTCTTGCATTCGCAGAATTCCTTTGTAATAGAGGAAGCGGCCTGTGCCATCAATCATCCTTCTAGGGTCGCTCGGGTCGACGTCAAAGGTCAGATCTCGCAAGCGAGCTCCAAGGCAACAGCTAAAGCTGCGTAGGCAAAGGCGCGGGCCATTAGGCGTTGAAGAAGCGTGCCAAGTGCCCACCGAGCCCCACGCTACATGACCACCCCTTGTAGTTCGCAGGAAGTGAATGTTGTGGCTAGCAGACAGCTCCAGGAAGAGGCCTTCCACTCGACCTTGGTGGTGCCAAGAGAAAACCACACAGTTCGTGAAGGCCATGGCTGTCTTTGCCGTATCAAGCTGTGGTAGGCCTAACAGGAGGAGAAACTCACCCCTGAGTGCACACCTGCAAGCTGCAGGCAAAGGGAAGAAGCTTAACCCTTGAAGCACGCCCACAGGACTGCCGCGGCTATGGCTCAGATCTGTCTAAAGCTGGGATTCCAAAGCGCCTGTTCCCCCAAAAGAGACGTTGGAGATCCAGGACCAGTTAGACAGCTACACACTCAGCTACCGAGCCAGACCACCTGTAAACCAGGGCTTGAGCAGTCACAGCTTGAGCCAAAAAAAAAAATTAACTTTCTAACCGAGCGGACTGAGTCGCGCGCCACAATTGGGCCTTCCGGAGCAGAGCTCAACGGGGGGGTCGGGGTGAAACGGAAAGGGCAGGTGAAGGCCGTGAGGAGGCTCTCACTCCTAGCCGAGCACCTGGAGCTGTGAACAGCGCTAAAGGAGGAACTCACCTTAGCTAAAAGCTGCCAGCTCAAAAAGCTCATTGCTGCCTACGTCCCTATTGCAGATAAGGGGAGGAGCTCACCCTTGCCAGAGGGAAGGAACTTCCCAATTCACGGTTAAGGGTCCCTGCCTTTCTTCTGCGAGAAGCTCACAGGAAAACAGGAAGGTCCAGAAACCCAGTCCTGCACGAATACAAAGCCTGCGTTGCCTTTGGCCACCCAACAGACCAGCAGAGAGAAAGAGGGGCCGTGAGGGCTCTGCAGGGAGAAACTCACCTGCAACCGAGCCCCAAGGACTGTAACTAACACCACAAATGCCAAGCTTGCAACTGGCACAGGTGAGCGGGCAAAGCTAGATTACCCAGACGAGAAGACCAACACAGAGGCGAAGCCGGAAAAAGCGCCCCCTGCACGACCCAATCCCAACCACACAGCACATCATCGTATGAGGAAAAACTCAACAAATACGTGATCGGTTCTTGCGTTTTCCGTCGCGCGCTAGTGCAGCGATGGGCCCAAGCAGAGAACACTAATCCCAACCCCCGCATGCGCCAAACAAACAACAGAGCCCACCGACAAAGCTCGAGTCTAAGCCTGGGCGTCACCATTACGCAAAAGGTGACTACACAACCGTGCGGAGAGCTCAAGGGAAGTAACGACACAACGACGTATGTCGTCAGTCCCACGGTCGGCAAGTGAAAGTGGAGGTCACCGAGAGGAGCCAGCCGCCGCACCGCGCGGCCAGCTGTCCAGCAGGCGTTGCATGTCGCGCCCACTCGAAGGAAAGTGACTCTCCTTCAAGAGATAGAGCAACTGGTACTTTTTCTCATTGTAGATTTCCTTCACCCTAGTATATGTATACTGATGATTGTCATGGTCGTCGCCATGAAGACGTGGCATCAAGTCGGTGGAGATACAAGGATATTGGAGGCCAGGTCCGAGGCCCCCGTTCCGGAGGAACTCCTCCGCCGCAGCCTTCCAGCGTTCCTGCGCCCCTGGATGCCCCAGCCTGAACCAGGGGCGCTCACCACCCGGCAGCTCCTGCGCCTGGTTCTCCTCTCGGGCGACCAACCGATGAAGGAGGACCATCGCTTTGGCTTCAACTGCGTCGAAATGCGCAAAGCGCCACAAGCGGGTGGGAAAGTAAAACTGCTTCTTTTGCGGCCCGCGTATCCAATAGGCCACGACCGCTCGGAGATCCCAGCCCTCGGAAGTGGCCGCAGCTCGAAGACGCCACAGGGCGCTATTCAGCAGGCCCGCAGCCTGGATCGAGAGAGAGGGCTGTGCCTGTAAACCCAGTGAGATGTCCGCAAGCGGGAAGAGCAGGCGAAAAGTGCCCCTATATGTGCCCGGATACGTGAACATTCGCGGATCAAACTCACCGCGTCTGGCCGGAAGGATTCCACTCTCGAAGCCCGCCATCAGTCGGTCAGCAATGGTAATCTGAGGTCGGCTCACCAGGGCAGCCGGAACCTTGCACGTGACTCGCACCTCAATGTGCTGACCGTCACGAGTTGGAGTAACGTTGGTGAGCTGTAGAAGTGGAGCGGCCGTAGGGTCGTCAGCTAATGCCCGTGTAAGATAGAGCAGCAGCTGTACTGGCAGCAACACACCACAGTGCAGCAGTGGGGTTCCCTGTGTCGCGTCAACAACACTCGTGCCCCCTCCCCCAGTAGTGCGCCGCTGGCTGGAACCGGCGCCGCGTCGGCTGCCTGTTTGCACAGGTTCTCGCGTGGCGGTGGGGTCTCTCTTGGGGGCCAAGGACATTTGCACCAAGCTGCCGTCCCGGACTGGAGACTTCCGTCCTGCCAGGGCACGGGGGAGCGACCCCTTGAGTCCTGCAAGCTCATCGAGAAGCAGCCACCACCAAATCTCGGGCCGAGCAAGCTCGTACCAGGAAAGGTCAAAAACCCGTCCTTCAGGCGCAGAACTGGGTCGCAAAACTGAGCCAATGCGACCGACACTGCCAGGATGGGTGTCAGGCAGACGCGGAATGCTTCATCATCCGTACAGCGCCGTAGCATGAGCGCCCGGTCGAGTTTGACTTCACAGGCGGGCAGGGACAAGGGAGGGAAAGCAAGGTCAGGCAGTCGGTGGGGTTGGGCAACAGTTGTTGTAGTGCACCCGCACAGTCCATTCCTTCGACAGGCCGCTGTTGCCGGCCCCGAGCTTGGTAGCGCCGAAGGGTATCATGCTGCTCTTCGAATTCGTCTTCGTCTTCTGCCGGTACACACCGGCTGGCAATGGATGTAACTGCCGGCACAAGGCGGCAAGGTGGAGTTTCCACTGCGTCCAACAGGGCCGCCACACGTTGGCTCCATGTAGAACTAGGAGCGGCGGGGAGGGAGGCAGCGCAACTTTGACTGCGCAGCTCCGCTGTCAGTGCGGGATCCTCTTTGGCAGGCACTCCTGTGTCCGGGTCCGGGCGAACCTTTCCCGTCGGATCATAGAGGGCGTGGCAGGCCTGTAGTAGCAATCGGCGGCAACATAACCGTTTCAGGGCTAGAGTGACGTACCTGTGACGACACAAAGCGCTGCAACCTCCCAAGCAACGTTTTGTTGATCGTATCCGAGGCAATAGCATAAAGGTAGAATGAGAATGCCCCCGGCACAGCGGTGACCAGCGACTCCGATGAGCTGGCTTGGCCCCGACACGCTGTCGCTGGCGGGTCGAAGGACATGTGCGTTCCAATGAGAGACCTGTGATGAGTGGAGCGGAGCGCGCTGTATAGCCTTTTGGGGGGAAGCACGCCCACGCCCTTGTGCTCTCTAAGACGGTAAAGACCAAACTGCAGCGGTGTAGTAAAATCAAGCAGTCCGAAAACTGGGCACTCAGTGTCAATCACAGGATAAAACGGGCGTGCCGTGATGGATTGGCCATTGGGTCCACTGTGGGCAAAATCCATACTCCGGAGGAGGAGCTGGACCGGATAGCCGTCCATGCTACTGTGTGCAGCGACGGCTGTAGCATCGCAGAGCGGAGGAACGCAGTTCACGGACCACCGTTCATAGAATTTCCGGGCAGTCTCCCTATCTGCGCGCTGTGGGCTTTGAAGTCCAAGCCTGGCGAGTCCGTATGTTTGGTAGAGTTCCTCCGATCGGACATGGGTGTGATGGAGGGAAGCATGGAGCTCTAATGCAGCAATAATGCCCCACCAATATGGGAGGGAGAGGCAATGATCAATGGGTCCGTGGGTTGCGTACTGCCCGCCGTGAGCCGTTGGGCGTCTTTCTCCGACATGATAAAACGCGGCGACAAGGCAAATGTCAACGGCCCCCGTGGTGCCAGCACATATTGTGGTGGTAAAAAAATCGATAAAGGCGCCCAGTTCGTTGTGATGGTCATAAAAGAAAGAAAAAAAAGGCAGTCTGCTTCTTAGTGGTCGGGAGGAGGGAGCTCTGGCAACCATTTCGAAATGAACTCCGCAAAAGATTCCACTAACTTCATCCCTTGTTCCGGCATCACAAGGGTGGAGATCGGGTGTGTCCACACTCCAGTCGCCTTAAGCCAGCTGCTATTGCGGTGGACTTTCTCCACCAGTCGGCATCCTATAACGAAGCGATTCTGTGCTATCGCGCCGGCTAATGCAGCTGTGCAAGTTAAAGGCCTAGCCTCCATTAACGGCGTACGTTTGCTTAAATTTAGCCCTGGTTGCCTCTACTCGATTGCTTATCACTGCCGTCAGGTACCCGCAATCCATTGTTCTGCACAAGGCCACGGACGCCTCTCCGTGCCCGATTACCATTGGAGAACTTGTGGCGGATACTCCCGCATGGCAACTGCAGCGAGTCGCGGCCTGTTCTCCGTAACCGTTGTGTTTAGGAAGGGCGCTGTGAGCGAAGTTTACAAAACTCAGTTCCCTCATCAGAAATTTATTGCCCAGAAGATATATTGGGCAAACGGAAATATCGGCGAAGGTATAAATGCACCGACGGTATCCCCGAAGAATATATGGGGTATAAATTCTCATATCTTGCTTTCGCCTCTCGTGACTCCAATCAAATGTATCCTCGCCACTTAATGATAAATATCTAAAGAGATAGCAACTGCCGAAAGGAGCACGCAGGATGTTTTCAAACGGATGGCGGCAGGCTCACGCAGGCATCTAATTCTTGAACAGGTCTTTGACGTGTCGGAAAGGCGCACCTGTGTGCCTGTGCCCCCCCTTCCGCAGGCCGGCACGTCACCAAGGAGACTTCTCTCTCTTTCTCTTGCCTCTGAAGCGTGGCCTGCCACCGACCGTGTCGCGGATGGAATCCACTTCACGGGTGCTCAGCTGTGCACGCCTGGCTTCGTAAAGAGTGTGAAGAAAGGAAAGCGGCAATTCGGAGTACTGCACTGGGACCCGCAACTCCTCAGAGAAACGGTCGAAGATTTCGTTGGTTAAATCATCGGCCTCCTGATTTTCGTCCCGGGGACGCCATCCCAAGTTCAACCGCAAGCCGGCCTTCATGAGAACATGGGTGAGCTGCATGTTCACCATGAGCAAGGGCCAGCGCGTTGTAGAACCCTTGCGAGTCAAGCCCTCGTTAGACTTATTATCCGTCTGAGCTAAAACCTCAACCTTCATCAAACGCCTAGTTGGCCCGGCTTCAAGGTGACCGAAGATGTGCAGTGCGGCCAGCGTGGCCAGCAGTTCAGCCGATGCCGAAGCCCACTGACTGTGACCTTCTGAGTCAAAGAGGTAAGGGGCCTCTGAAGGAGTAAGTCGAAGTGAGAACCACCTGGACTCCTGAGTTGTGCCTGCGCAATCCCAACCCCCAAGGACCACGTACCCGTCCGCACACTTTGCATCAGTGCGGAAGGCCACGCCTGCTCTCTTGACCGATCTTGCTGCGGCGACCTTGAACGTCATGTCCCTGAACGTGAGGTCAAGATATTCAAGAGTAAGGATGACGGTATCGGGCATCCGAGCGACTGAACTGTCGTTCACCGCTGCCCTCCAGCTGTAAAGCGGTGCAAGGTGTGCCTTAAGCCAAACCAAAAGCCGAGCAACGAAGCCCAGTCTCCCTAAGAACTCAGCAAACCTGCGAACCGACACAACAAACTTCGAGGACCGAGCCTCAGCGATCCATTTCAAGAGCCACTGGCCCCGCGATTCCGAAATTCCAACCCTCTGGTCTGGATAAGAAAGTTCGTAACCCACAAAAGCCGAAGTGAGCCCACCGCGGAACTTCTTGTATGCGAAAGGTGTGCCAAACATCTCGAAGCATGCTAGCCACATGAGCAAATGATGAAATTTCTCCCTTCCTGCGAAGTTGGCGTGAACATCATCTACGAAGACGAGGTGATAGAACCACAAGGTCAAAAGAAAGCGTGCGGTGCAGCGGCCGATGATTCCGAACAATCTAGACCAAAGGAAGGCGGATGATGATATACCGAACGTTCCTACTTTGTTGTACCAAACGACCGGCGTGTCGTTGCGCACCTTACAGCACAACAAAGGCCAGTCGGCCTCTCTGACAAGGAACAACCTGTGAGCCGCCGTCACATCGCCGGTGAGGCAAAAGGTGGCCTCCTGACTCTGCTTTGCGCTACGCACAAGGTGAACTACTTCCTGGGGTCCGGGATTAGATTGCTGATTAAGTAGCCTAATACCATTGTTGACGTGCACACCGTGGGTGCCATCGTGTAACGGCCGAGCGGAGCCGTCTGGTTTAATCAAGGAACCTAAAGAAGCTATCCTAACCCTATCCCGCCCGTACTTTTGCTCAAGTACGGGCGCCATGCGCCCAAGAAGCTCTTCCTCTGCAAACTTCTTCTCAAGCTGATCCGACGTTTCGTTTGCCGACGAATAGTTCTCGCGATGCCACTCGGCATCCGATTCATCGAGCTTGCGGGACTTGTATTTGTACTCGTACACCTGTGGCAAGTGAGGCGCGGGGCAGTCATAACCGATCGCGACCCCGCTGACATAGGAGTCCTCCTGGCAAGAAACGGCGTTCCAATCTGGGTCCTGCAACAGCCGCGCTGTCGCAGACACAGCATGCAAGAAGAATGGCTGGCCACTCGGCACCACATCAAGATCCGTACACTTGCCTCACGAAGCAGCCTCTATGCAACTAAACCACTCTTTCCTAAGGACCCCTAACATCTCTGGAGTGAAAGGTGATTCCTTAAGGCGGCCTAGCGCAAGCTCCATCGCCGTGCGCCTGATATCAGGCACAACGTCCGCTACAAAGTCTCGAAGCACTTGATGCATGGCAGTGGCGAACTCCAAAGCCTGCTTGGGCAGCAGGCCCCCCCTGGCTTCCGGAGGCCATCTAGTGGGTGAGCAGAGCCCAAAGCCATCCGTGATCGGCTGAGTTTCGCCATCCCACTCGAGGTTCAAAGGCAGCCCGGTGTTGTGGCACTCCTGATGCTTGAAGGGCTCCGGTCTTTCGGCCTCGCCCCCCTCCAGCACCTCCGAATCATCTGACTGGACCGCCTCAAGGTCAACACTGTGCTCTTCGCCCGGAAGGACGAAACCATGCCCACGAAGAAACGCGAGATCCTCATCGCATGCCTGAGTATGCTCCGATACACTGAAAGCTATGATGACTAATCTCTTACCTTTCCAGGGCATTGTGAGGTGAAGATCGCGGTAAGCATGTATGTAAGTGGGTGTCTCACTGATCGGAAGAAGGTGACCACTTAAGCGCTTACCGTCAACTATCTGAACAGACTCCCCATCCTGGGCCTCGACCCAGATCTCTCCTCCTACGAAGTCAGTAACCCCTATTATCCCATTGGGCAAAGGTGCGTTCCTGGAGTCTTTGTGGGGCTTGGTGCCAGTGTTAAGGTAAAGGCTAATCGTGGTAAAGGGGTGCCCGGGCATGTTGCTACGCACGAATGATGCCAATGCTTCAGTGGAAGCCGGGAAGCCTTTGCACGCGGACCTGAGCCCGATCAGGCCTCCACCCTTCCGGTACAAGCCTGTCGAAAAGCTGCTAGTAACCCAATTGGAGGACACCGCCGACCTAGGCGGAGTCTCATGCGGCAGCAGTTTGAAGAGAGCATGAACCTCGGCCCGAGTCGGGGCCCTCGATGAAGAAATGATGCGCGCAAACTCCTCGGCTTCAACATGTTTCTTAACCCCCCTAGGTGCTGCCTTCGGCTGCGGTTGCCCCGAAGAGTCTGGCGACGGCAACAAAGTGGAAGGAGGTGCTTCCGACTCGATCAAGCCAACCGCCTCTACCCTATCTGTAACCGCCTCTACCCTATCGGAAACCACCTGATGCAGACCCTGCGGCACTTCACATAAATCCTGATGCACCTCCTGCGTCGCCTCGTGGGATTCCTGCTGCACCTCCTGTGGCCAAACCTGAGGTGCCTCACAAGACTCCTCCCGGAGCACCTCCTGCATTGGACCTGCCTCACCTGGAACGAAGCTGTGCGGCGCTGACCCAAGTCCCCCATGCGAAGCGGAAGCAAGCACAGCATGCGCAAGCCACTCACACAACAGAGGAGGATAGGCTGCGGATGACTCGGTCGCCCAGCGGGTGCCTTCTCGGCCTGCAAGTAGTTTGTCGTGTTTCCCGTGCGGGCAACGTGGCGGCAACGGCCCCACGTAGCGATCGCTGGAGTCGAAGCGTGGCCATGAAGCAAAAGGCGGAGGCTGCTCGACAAAGGCCGTGAGATTAGTGAGAAGGCGGGTAGGTTTGGAAGTGGGAGCCTCAAAGCTGCATTGAAAGAATGCAAAAGTGATGGCCTGAGTGGAAACCTGGAGCTCACGCAGAGCTGGTAGTTGCCAAATGGAAGCCGGTAACTCGTGATCCGGCGTCGCACCGAGATCCTCCGGGTGCTCCAGGACATACTGCCATGCAAGTTGACATGCCGTCACGGTCTGATCAAGAAAATAATTAGCCTGCTCCACCTGTTGCGCGTGCAAATTGCTTAACCATGGAAAACCTCTAGGATAAAATGCTGAACGTAGTGGCTTTGGCCCGGGATGGCGATGCCGGACTCTGGAAAATGTCTCACAAGGAGGAGAGGCAATGAGGATCCAATCCCCTTCGCCAAGCAACTGAAAGATGTGCTGCCACAAGCCTTCCTTAGTCAAGTCATGCTCTGTGGAGCGCTGAAGATCGAACTGAAGAAGGTTAGTGACATTGCCCAAAGACTGAAGGTAAGAGCCCACATCACCTTTGCGATGGGGCCCCGCGAAAATGTAGAGCACACGGAGCCCGCTCGGACTGTACAGCTGAGGCTGGTAGGCGATGTGATCTGATGTCTCAATGGTAGAAACCGAATCATGCGATAGTCACTCCTTGGGCTTGCCGGTCTTAAGCTTGTGCTCGGTCGCTGAGTGGGGCTGATAACAGCCCTTGACCCGGCACACGTGCAAGCGTTCGCATGATGGATTGGTGCAGCCCTGCGAGTTGAATGCAAAGCAGATGTCGCGGCCCTCCGGTGTGCGCCAAACCAACTGAAGGCCCTTAAGTGCCGGGTCCGAGGGGCTTTTGCCGTTCTTGCCCCCCTTGGAGTCTTTGCCCTTGCCTCCCTTTCCCGTCTTGCCTCCGTCCTTGCCGTCCTTGCTCTTGCCCTTGCCTTTGTGCCACTTGCGTGGTCGCTCAATGATGGACAATGCGAGCGGCGTCGTGAAGTAGGTCTCCTTAAGCTCCGCTGAAGAAATGACTGAAGCCAGAGCGCCTGCCAGAGTATAACCCTGATCATTGACCAGACGGAAAGCCTCCTTGCGCAACCGGTGCTCATAGGCCAAGACTACTTCCCAAGGAGGCGAAAGTGAAGGCACATCGGCTGGCTGATGAGACGTAGGCACTGAGAGCTGGGCGACCTTTTCGCCAAGGATGTAGTTCACGAAGTGGTCGAAGTCAGACAGCTTGAGATCCTGAAACCACTGCTTGGATTTGAAGCGGGATGCCATGCATAGCCATGTGAAAGCTTCCACGCGAAGGACCTTGCGATAAGCTTCAGTAGTAGTCGGGAGCTCACTCTTGGATTTGTGCTGAGTAATATGAATTCGCCCCGAAGCGTCAAGGCTGGACTGGATGCTCGTGGTAAGCGTGTTCTTCTTAGAAGTTATGGCATCCAAGGTTGAAGCCTGAGGCTCATTGGCTTCGCACTCCTCGCACTTGAGAGCGAGGTACTCAGACGATGGAGTCTCCGACTCTCCCAGCTGCCCGTGAACGGCCGCTACCGCCTTGAGCATTGCTTGCCTCTCTGTGACTTGCAAGATTCGCGGCTGGCCTAACACTTTCGCCTCTGCTCGCGTTTCCGTCTCTTTGCTGATTACGTCGCGCGCAAGTTCCCATGCAGCGACGACCCCCGCGATTTGTTGTCGCCCTTCTGCAGCCCCATCATCCAAACCAAAGTCCGCCTTCCCAGCAGCCCGAGCTTCCGGCCGGGAATCGGCGATTGCCTGGAATCGCCTAAGTGTTGTATGTCGCTGCACAATGCGATACTGGGCATCCAGAGACAAGCCAGCTTCTCCGAGCACAAACTGCAAGTCGCTATCTGCTTTGGTTATGAGCTCGCGCTTCTCGGCATCTGTGGCGGCCATTGCGACAACAGTAACTAACTCCAGCTACTCCTGATGCGAAGGCCGCGCTCCCGCCTGTGGCCCTGTAGGACTTTGATTGCTAGCCGCCCTGAGGCCTTTAGCTGCACTGCGATGTGTCCACCCGTCGCCCTGAGGCCTGTGACAGGATGCGGAATCCGTCGGCACCTCACGGCCTGCGCCGAGTGAGACTTCCTCCTGCTTGAACAGCGCCAGCACGTGCACTTAATCAGCATGAACTGTTATCGCGGATCAACTTCAAGGCGCCCTGTGAAATGTCAGCATGGACTGTTATCGTGGATCTACTTCAAGGCGCCCTTGCATACGCAACTCATGCCAACTTCTGGCTAGGACTTGCAGGGCACAGCCTATACACAGCAGTCGAAAGCACCTTTTGCCTTCACATCGACTCGCTCCCACTGTCACTGCTGGAGGGGTCTGATTCCTCCTCTCCGGCCTGAGCCTTCATTCTTGCTTTGCAATCTTTGCAAATGTTATCGACGTCCTCCGCGCCGACATGATTGACAAATTTTACATCGTAACAATTCTCAGGCTTGACATAGCAACCCAACATGTGCAAACGCCTCAGGCCTGTGGTGCGAGAGGTAACGATGAAGTAATCCCCCCGGCTGCCTGGCATCGAGACCTGCTCGACTGGAGAAGGTGGTGCCGCAACACCCACTTCCAATGCCAGAGTTGGCCACGATCCGCCCAAGCCTTTGGATCCCTCGAGGAGGGTGTGACGGCGACGAACCTGAGATTCGCTCTCCCCAGCCTTAGCTGCATAGTCCGTCAAAGCCTTGATGGAATCCACCTCGATGTAGTGCTTAGGCTGTCCGGTGACAAGAGAACAAGCAATGTGACTCTGGAGACGATGCACAACCTGCCTAGAAGTGCGAATGTATGTTGCAGAACCTTCGCCACCTACCTTCCAGCGACCCAGATAATCAAGCTCCCTGGGGTCGTAAATTCGTTAATCTAGGGGTCTTAACCAAAATGGAAAAAGCAAACGGAATGTTAAGCTCTGGGGTTTGCCGCACAAGAAAAGTTGGAGCTAAAATCACATGTCCCGATTTCTGATGACAACCAACAGCAAGACTGCAATCAACTACAATCGCCCCTGTTTCTCAGACCGTTGCCATGGCCCTTTTCTATATCACAATTTCCAGAGGGGTAGCGCTTGCGAATTCTTTTGCAAGGTGGTAGGGCAAGCCCCTCCGCAGTAGCGCTTGCGAATTTTTTTCCGAGGTGGCAGTAGGCGGTAGCCCGCCCGAATTTGTTTTATAGGTGGTGATGCCCCCTCGCGGTAGCGCTCACAAATTTTCTTCCAGAGTGGCTGGCCCTCCGCTGTAGCGCTCGCGAAATTTTTGTTCAAGGTGGTAGTAGGTGGTAGCCCCCCTGCGGTAGCTCTCGCGACATTTTTTTCCAAGGTGTTAGCTCCGACTTTGTACCAAGGTGGTAGGGCAAGCCCCCCGGGGGTCAGCGCTCGCGAATTTTTTTCCAAAGTGGCAAGCCCCCCCGCGGTAGCGCTCGCGAAATTTTTCCAAGGTGGTAGTAGGCGGTAGCCCCGCGGTAGCGCTTGCGCATTTTTTTCAAGCTGGTATTGCCCCCCGAGGTAGCGCTCGCGAATTTTCTTCCAAAAAATAAAATCCCACAACAGAAGAAAATACAAAAAATAAATTCAAATAAAAATGACATTCGGAAACAACAAAACTCAAAAACAAAATCCGATACACAATGAAAATTCCGGAAAAAGTTAAAACAAAAAAAAACTGAATTTGCAAAAAAAATTCGAATTCCAAAAGAAAGTTAAACTTCTAAAAAAAATCAAATTTAAAAACAGAATTCCAACAAAAGTAAAACTCAAAGAACTTAAAATTACAACTAAGCCTTAAGCCCCAAGCCCTAAGCCCTGAGCCCTCAACCCTAAGCCCTAAGCCCCAAGCCCCAAGCCCCAAGCCCCAAGCCCTAAGCCCTGAGCCCTCAACCCTAAGCCCTAAGCCCCAAGCCCCAAGCCCTAAGCCCTAAGCCCCAAGCCCTAAGCCCTAAGCCCTAAACCCTCAGCCCTAAGCCCTAAGCCCCAAGCCCTAAGCCCTAAGCCCTAAGCCCTAAACCCTAGGCCCTAAGCCCTAAGCTCTAAACCCAAACCCAAGGTTCCAAAATAGTTTCCAAAAAAATCCTTAAGTTTCCAAAAAATTCCTTAAGGTCCCGAAAAATTCCTTAAGGTCCCGAAAAATTCCTTAAGGTCCCGAAAAAATCCTTAAGGTCCCGAAAAATTCCTTAAGGTCCCGAAAAATTCTTTAAGGTCCCGAAAAATTCCTTCAGGTCCCGAAAAATTCCTTAAGGTCCCGAAAAATTCCTTAAGGTCCCGAAAAATTCCTTAAGGCCCCGAAAAATTCCTTAAGGTCCCGAAAAATTCCTTAAGGTCCCGAAAAATTCCTTAAGGTCCCGAAAAATTCCTTAAGGTCCCGAAAATTCCTTAAGGTCCCGAGAAATTCCTTAAGGTCCCGAAAAAATTCCTTAAGGTCCCGAAAAAAGCTTAAGGTTCCAAACCGGATGGAACCTTAAGGATTAAGGCCAAAAAAAGCAGAGCCTAAATCAGGTTTTTTTTAGGGTTTTCATTGAAAAAAACCTGATTCAGGCTCTGCTTTTTTTTCAAGTTGGAAAAAAAGCAGAGCCTAAATCTGGTTTTTTTTCAATGAAAACCTTAAAAACACCTGATTTAGGCTCTGCTTTTTTGGCCTCAATCCTTAAGGTTCCATTTGGTTTGGAACCTTAAGCTTTTTTCGGGACCTTAAGGAATTTTTTCGGGACCTTAAGGAATTTCTCGGGACCTTAAGGAATTTTCGGGACCTTAAGGAATTTTTCGGGACCTTAAGGAATTTTTCGGGACTTAAGGAATTTTTCGGGGCCTTAAGGAATTTTTCGGGACCTTAAGGAATTTTTCGGGGCCTTAAGGAATTTTTCGGGACCTTAAGGAATTTTTCGGGACCTTAAGGAATTTTTCGGTACCTTAAGGATTTTTTCGGGACCTTAAGGAATTTTTCGGGACCTTAAGGAATTTTTCGGGACCTTAAGGATTTTTTTGGGAACTTAAAGATTTTTTTGGAACCTTGGGTTTGGGTTTAGAGCTTAAGGCTTAGGGCTTAGGGCTTACGGCCTAGGGCCTAGGGTTTAGGGCTTAGGGCTTAGGGCTTGGGGTTTAGGGCTTAGGGCTTGGGGCTTAGAGCTTAGGGCTTGGGGCTTAGGGCTTAGGGCTTGGGGCTTGGGGCTTAGGGCTTAGGGCTTAGGGCTTTGGGCTTTGGGCTTAGGGCTTAGGGCTTGGGGCTTAGGGCTTAGGGCTTGGGGCCTAGGGCTTAGGGTTTAGGGCTTAGGGCTTGGGGCGTAAGGCTTAGTTGTAATTTTAACTTTGTTCAGGAGTTTTATTTTTCTTCTGGAATTCTCATTTTTGGTTTTAGTTCTTCTTGTTTTTTTGTTTTTTGGAATTTCAATTTTTGTTGAGTTTTATGTTTGTTGGAGTTGATTTTTCAATCTTAATTTCTTGCAGAATTTTGGTGTATTTTTCGAATTTTATTTTTCTGGCATTTTTGAATATTTTCTAATTCATTTTGTTCCTTACTCCTTTTCAAACAACTCGTTGGCTGGCCGGCTGGTCATTCAGAACTTGCGGAAGCGGTTTGCCAAGCCATGGGCACTTTGACTTTGAAGTCTTGCTTGTCCTTTCGGCTGTATGTCTGGCTGATTTTTGCATTACCCTGCAGATTGTGGCATGGGCATACCGATAAATGTAAGGAATAAGGATCATAGGCTCAAACCCTCCAACAAGAAAAGGAAATGTTCATCCCAAACCTCGCAGAAGGGCAGAAGTACGGCATAAACCCACGAATGAGAAGGCAACAACCGACAGTCAACAGTCAACAGAACTCTCGACCCCAGGCCCCAAGTGAGATAAAATCCTCATATCTCCCGAGGTCCCGGCCATAGGTTCAAAGAGAAAGAACTATAGCCGCGCCGTGCTTCTGATTGTTCTTGAACCACGGCATGGAATCTCGCGTTCACAGAATCCACAGCATGCTCGCCAAAGCCAAGGAACGAAAGTGCTTATCAACCCAAAACCCAATTACTCCCCAAAACCTTCGCTTTTCTTCTCCCGGCAACCAAAAATGGGCAAAAGGGGCCATGCAAGGAGAACGTAAACATGTTGGGTTTAGTTTCTTGATGTCGAAATCTGGTACAGTGATTTTGGTCAGCAACAAACAAGCTCGGCAACCCGCCCGAGCTTAAGGCGCCGATCGCTTTCGAACCACCCTAAATTAACGAATTTACGACCCTGGGGTCGACATCGATGGCCGCTTCGACCGAGCTAAGGAAGTTCCTCGCAGAGTGGCCCGTAAAATGACTGGAAGTGTATCCTGGGAGCAGCGGACGCTGATCATTGGCCTTCCAGGTGCGCCCCTCACGCTTGGGCGTCTTCAACTCACTGAGAACTTTGCGGAAGTAAAGGGCCACCGTGGAGGAAGGCACCGACTTCTCAAGGGGTTCCGTGAAACCTTCATTGGCCTTCAAAACCAAATAATCCCTCTCAAAATCGAAATCCTTCCAAAGTGCATATCCGGCCTTCAGCCAATCATGCCCTGTCAGAGAGATACTCCGTTCCACGAAGACCTTGACGGTGTGGGTCCTTTTGTCGGGCCCTGTAGTCTTGGACCGCGCGAGATCAATGCTAAGCCCTCGCTCGTCCAGAAGCATGGTCTGCGGCAGGAGCCCCTGAACATCATCGGCCCGAAGTGACCCCCAAACCATCAATAAGCATACAAAGCCCAATGCTCTCAAGTAACTCGGCTCCCCAGGCGTGCAGACGAAGATCTCACATGCGAGAACGATAGCAACGGTGAGCATGCTGGCTGGCTGCTCCGGCGGTGCCGCTGAAATCAAATCGGCTGTGTAACTTTTGAGCTGCGCCTGCCATGTGGGATCCTGAGATATCTGCTGCGTAGACGGCACGCGCCCTACACCTTCAAGTACACTGAGAGAGGCTTGCAGGCTTTCGAGAACTGTCTTTCCACATCCTTCCTGGAATCGTTCATTGGCATAGTCTAGCACATCGGCTACCCCTTCCGGATAGCTTCTGCCACGGCTATAAAGCAACCATTCCCGAAACTTATCCCAAGCCCTAAAGCGATTCCTCAATGTCTTGGAGCGACGGGTCCCGAACAGCCGTGGCCAGGCTTCCTCGGCATTGCTGACCCCTGCAAGCACCTTGCACACCGGCAGTTGCGCCTCCTGCATGATGGCTGCAAGACGCAATGCATACTCCTGCCGAAGTCGTATCTCTTCAGTGGCCCTGGCACCGCGATCTACGACCCTATCAGTAGCTAACTTTCGCTTGCGAAGAACCGGAAGCAACGCAAGTGGACTCTGAAGTGCGATCTGATTGTAATGCTCATGCAGGCTAAGACCAGTTCCCGGGACACTGGGCAAGCACTCTGTCAAGCGCCTCCTTGCTTCCCTGCGCCCACTGGCCACCAGTCGGGAAACATCAGTGTGCCATTCAAGAAGAGCATCTGCGATCAAGGCAACACTGCTTTCCAGCAAAGCTTTATCACAATTCCTAAGCAACTCCACGAGCTCTTCTCTAGTGTCAAAGGATGCATGCAGCTTCTCTGGCGTGCCAAACCACTCTTCGAGCCGACCGCGGTAAGGCTGCACGAGTGCGGGCCAGCTGAGACCTGCACCACTCATGGCCGTCCCCGGGCCGCAAGGCTGCCCTGTTACCGCGATCTAAGACCTGAGGTTTGGAGTTGCTAAGCAAGTCCACTGTCCAGCTATGCGTCACAACGATGCTTGTGAGAGCTAGTCCCTATATGAATCAAAATTTTCTCTGCTCCTGAGCCTGAGCTCTGCGTCCATGATAAGCATTGAGATTGTGCGCGCACTCAGCTTCTGGCTCAATTCTGAAAAGCGCACGATACGTAAAATAAAATAGAAACTCAAAACTGCTAAATAAAACTTTTCTCTTCGAAACTGCGGAGATCTTCGAGTTGGTCTAATCAAGGGAACTCCTCCTACCCACAGAGACACCCCGCCCCGCCCACCCAAAACGTTTACTCTAAACAGCGCCGCCGGGCAAGCCCGGCTAGGCATGGCTCCCATCAGCCGATTACCCGGCAGCCGCAGAGGTCGCAGAGATCCTCGTCTAGCCGACTTCGACTTCGTCCTCCACTCCAAAGAGGCATTCCGACAACTTCCGGCATACAGTGAGACTGGTGCCCGGAGGTGCTTGGCGCCCTGACGGACTGCAGTGTATCTCGACGCCTGCTGGCGTGACTCAGAAAATGGCATATCCATGTGTGGCTATCGACGATGTGCTGCTGCTGCGCCTGGTAAGACGTGTCCCTGACGACTGTTGAAGTTTGACCGGCTACGGGCCTTGGGGTCAAAGGTGTTGCACAAAGGCAAAGTAGGCTTTGAAAGCTGTAAGCTGAACGGCTGCGGAATACAGAGAACATGGATCACTCATGCACATGATGCGCCACAGAGAATGCAGCATGCAAACACAAATTTTCTTTCAGACGCTCCTGTGCAGACTTCCCTCCGCGAGTTGTCGCTTGAGCGTGCGGTGGATTTCACCAGAACACCACATCTAGGCACTACCGGTTGCGTTGAAGGTGGAGAACTGTCTCACTTTTGGCACATACGTGCTTGGCTTGTCGTGTCGCAATGGCTTTTACGCCAACGGAGACACTGGCTGGTTCTCGCATTGACAATTACCAGCCGCCCTCAAGGGTTGTCTTCTGCGGTTTTTTTTGCGTGAATGGGCCTCGTCGACTACGGCTGTAGCACTCGGTCCCTACAAGCAAACTAACAAACAACTAAGCACAGAACTACAAAGCAGTGAGACAAAAGCGAAGCTCTGCAAGCTGCGGCGCACAGGCTTTGCCGGTGGAAGCCGTTCAGCAACTACGAAGCCTCAGCGACCGATCCGAAGCAACAAAGAGCCGTCGCTCTGAGCCGCCCAAAGCAGCAGGTGGAGCCAAATCCAAGCTCCGGCAGCCGTTCTAGTCTCGACAGACAACGGACAGCCCCTGTGCTTTGTTTCATCACGATCGAGCACACCAAAATCCAAAAGTCCAACGCCCACCGTGGCGAGCGGCTTCTAGACATGATGCGGAGCCAGAGTCTTTGCGACTCAAAGCCGGCCAGATGCGACCGCACCCCGAGAACGAAAACAATCGATCCACGGTGTGCAACAGTGGCGAATTGGATGCTGGCGTCCAACGCCGCCAATCGCCGCCCACAATGCGTGTGGCCAGGCCAGGATGCGGACCGTAGGGAAAAACTTGTTGTGCGTCGAGACCCAGCACAGCGCAACTCAAGAACGTTCCAAGAACGGCAACGGGTCGCCCATGACGAGGCTTGGGCCAAGGCAAGACGGTGCGGCTGCTCAGATGGGACGGGCCCCTGCCGCGACCTGATGCTGGTGGCTTGCGAGCTTGCACCCGGCGCAATCCTCCGTGCAGTGGCTCATTCCATTCCAACCCTTGTTGTTTTTGGCCCTGCTCGTTTGCCCAGGTGTCCGCTCGGCATGGCGGCTGGACTCGAGGCGCGCAGGGAAGCTGGGCAACATGGACGACGCGTCCGCAGCTGCAAAGCAGGTTGCCGATGCCATGAAGGAAGCTGCACCTAGTCTCGGAGATATTTGGATTCGTAACGACAGCGAAGACTATGACGGCACAGAGATCATTGTCATAGGCTTTTCTGGGCCTGATCCGAAAAAGGGCCTGCCTCAGGGCCTTGGGCATCCTAACTGGTTCGGACGAGGGCTTGTTCACTGCAGCAACTGCAGCCAAGGTCCAGCAATTAGATATGACGACGCGGTTGAGAAGCGGCTTCGACCGGGAGGCGGGTGAGGAAGAGAACCCGCTGGATGACAGCTGCACCAACTGTGTTCAAGGACAACTTGCGGTGTGCCGCAACCACGGAACAGGGCGGCCAAGGTTCCCCCCCCCTTCCTCTACAATGCGCAAAGTCAAAATCGGCAGGTGTGCAGACTGAGCGCACACGGTGTGTGTCGCCGATGCAATGCATGGGGGAAGCCGATTGGGTCGCCCCAGACAGCCGAGGTCATGGTAAGAGTCTGGCCGTGCTGAGGCCAGCATCCACGCGTCCCAGGCTGCTTGGCGAGTGCAACAAGGCCCAAACAAGGGATCCACCAGGTAGCAAAATGCACCCTGCTGAGTGCAATAGAGGGAAGGTGCGGGGTTCTGCCCATGCCTGCCGTTGAGCATGTCGAAGCCCGAGAAATGACGTTGGCCGGATCCTCGCTCTACGCACTTACCAAGGCAAGAGGGAAGGCCAAACCATGTCAATAACGGACATCGACGTATGTCGACGTGCCGGCAAGGTTAGGAGTCCCGAGGGGAGAAGAGCACAGCGCAGATCGATGTAAGGCTTTGCCGGTGGAAGCCGTTCAGCAAACTACGTAGCCACAGCTTAGCAATTTTGGCTTCGCTTGAGTGGCCCCCCTCTGTACCACTATGAACAGTCAGTACCAAACCACATTCTGGCTAAGGTCAGTCAGATCGGCAAGTGGATGGCACATCTGACCAGACACCTCTCCAAGGATCGGCCGGATCTATTTGTAGGTAAACACAATTGCCTGCTGCCTCTGGACTTACTTGCTGAGAATCATCTCGCAAAATACTCGCCTCAAGAAATGGCGCTTGCCGTCATTCTAAACACAAAGCAGAGGTTCGTGGTCGTAATGGACTACATCAAGAATGATCGTTCTGTTTCGACCGAAGCCGGCCCTACTATTCCCCGAGATGCTGATGTGTCAAAAATGACACGGATCTACCTAGCTGCAGTTGGGGGACACAGCGAAAGACATTCTCTAACCAGAGAAGAAGAACCAGATCCAGAGGAACATAGGCCACGGTCACAAATGACCGTAGGTGATTTCATGGCATCGGAGATAAACCCAGTGCAATCTCTTGCACAGCAACAGTCCACAAATGCATCAATCCCTGTCGGAATGAGGGATTACGTCCAACAGGACGAGCGGTGTTACATCATGCATGCCACAGACCTAGAGGCCCTCGCGCCGATTCTGAGGCATGGTCTCGTTCCCTCATCTCTCTTGAAGCAAGTGGTCACATCACAGAGCTATCAAGCTCTTGTGACGGAGAACGGACGTTCCAACGGACACAGTTCAGTTCGCTCTACTGAACCTCGTCCGTCCAACCGCCATAGGACTGAGGCGCAATAAACCACTGCTACTCGTTTTTGATGCCACAAACGTGGCTAACGCGGTAACAAACTTGTGGCGTTCGGAAGGCGGTATGTTCGCCACTCCGGAAGTGGTGCAGGCCCACACCATCAGCGCTATGTTCGCACCTACAGAACAACTCTGGGTGTCTGAACAGTATGAAGAACTTAAAAAGGTTCGAGCCTGGTGGAGTGACTACTGCAACGAAGAAATGCCTTCATTGACACACATGTCAAAGAAGTGGTGTGAGAATCATGGGAGAACTCTCGAAGAGGAATTGCTAAAAATGGCAAAGAAACGCCAACCTCCTGAGCCTCCAAAGGCAAGATCTTCTCACAAGAAGACACTCTCCTTTCCACAGTCTGAGGACCTTAGAACTCCGAACACGGAGCATCCTGCCTCTGCAAGTGAGGTACCTCCGAAAACGGAGACCACAGTAGAGGAGGCTTCTGCATCAGTAGGAGTACATCCTAGATCGAAACTTGCACGAAAGGCTGAAGCAGATCAGAACCCAGACAGCCTCATGGGCAGGCTCTGGAACGCAGACGGTTCTGCAAGTGCTTCAGAGGTTCTCACAACAACCACTTCTCACAAACCACCATCCTGTTCAGGATACCACTGAAAATATCGTTCCTCCCAAGGAAGAATCATCTTCCGGAGAGACAGAGCCCGAAGAACCAGATCCTAACCAGGATGATGATGATGGCTCAGAATCAAGCTCTTCATCATCCTCTTCAGAACTTAGGGTAGATGTCAACCCGACATCACCCGGGATACCTGTTTCTTCGGAGCCTGCAACTTCTTCCAAGAAGAGCAAGACGAAGACACCATCTGAGGAACTCGAAGAAGGAATGAGCAAGGTTACTCTGGACACTCACATGTCAGAAGCCGAGTTCATTCCAAGCTCAGATGAAGAACCTCCTAAACCAAAAACTCCTAAAAAGGAGAAGGAAAAATTCGTGGTTATTTTCGATCCCGAAACTGGTGGCCACTACCGAGTCAATCGGAGTAAACTAAACCTCGACTACGAGGAGCCGGCCGACGATGAGGATCTCCTCGAGGAGCGTGAGCGTATCAACGCTCGGCTCACGGAAAATCAGAAGCACGTTCATGCCCAATCAAAGCTGAACCCTCTTATGAAAGAGGAAGTAAAAGAAAGGATCCACGTCTGTCGATGGAATCGAAGGAGGCAAAAGCCTCTCATGATCAAAGACTCAGAGGCACCGGACGACGAGGAGTGGGACCAGCCTCAGGATAATGCTGCATCCTCCTCTGAACCTCCTAAAAAGGAGAGAGTCGTAAAAATCCGGAAAACCACTATGAGCCTCAATCAGAAAATAAGACTGCTTCCGCGCCCGGAAGTCACACGCTGTCACCTGTGCAATCAAACAACAGGTTACTTCTGCTACCAATGTGGAAGTATCGTGTGTGCAGACTGTCGACTTACCCCACAGGGTAAGCAGTCTATGTGCTC